GTGGTGCTGGCTGAGGCCCCGTGGGCAGGAAAGGCAAGCCCATACTTGGAATAGGACTCTGTCCCAGTGAGGAGAAACCGCTGGTTATTCCTGAATGAAGGCCCGATGTCCTCCACTTACCAGCAGGCGGCCTGTTGTTCTCTGGGGATAACGCCATAGCAGGGGCTCAGCAATGGCTTCTGTTGCCGGCAGCTTCTACTTCAGAGGAAGCCACGAAAGTTCGTGCTTTTGGGCCCATGTGAAGCCTCCATCTCTGCCATTCCGTTCAGGCACCCGTCATGCTGGTTTTAGATGCTGAAATGGCCTAACGCTGAAAAGCTGACTAATGTCAACTGACTGAGTCATTTTGTCTACTTGGTGGTTTAGTGTTCACAGTGAATGCCTGTCACTGAGTATTAACATGTAGAAAATGTCTACAGTTTGTGTTCACTTTCATATGCCCATCCACATGCCTTTACCCTGGACCTCCTTATCTCCCATCATCCTTTTCCTTCCAGGCCTCTGACCAGCTGTTTGAGCCGCTGGCCAAAGACTCGGGGAATGGTTCCAGGGCACCCCATGGATACCAACATCCATGGATGCTCAAGTCCCGTATTTAAAATGGTGCAGAACCATGCAGACACACCTCTGATCAAGCCTAAAATAAAAATTTAAACAAAAACTTAAACCCAGAAAACATAATTGACATAATTGTTCCCATTCTAGCTAAAACCAGCGCTGGTACATGTCGCTTGAGGAGTTTCGTTTTTACAAAATCATAGTACAATTGAAGTGCTCCTTATATACGTGACAGTGTGTGGGCTGTGAGTGATATTAACTGATCATTATTTTCACTTTTCCATCACACGCTGACGTGATCTTTCATTAAAGGTGGCACTTTGTGTTACAATCAGATACATTTTTATTTTGCTCATATGATTTTTCTGCTGCTCCTAAACAATTCACCAAAGAAAGTAAATTAGGACAAGGTCAATTTTGTGTTTACTAGACAGCAACCAGAACTTCCTGAATATGTAGTTAATGTTTAGACTATATTATCACACTTTTTAGCAAATGTATAGTATTGAAAAGCATAACCCTCCCTCCTCCAAAGCAGTTCTTTTTTTTTACTAAAGGAAAGTGTGTTGGCAACTGCTCTGTTTCCAGGGATTATGATTCTAATAGGTCCTGAAAATAAAATCCTATCTTTGCCAAAATCTCACTTATGCTTCATATCAATAACATGCTCTTTACCCCTGCGTATGCATTCTGGAATCAGAGAAACAACTTCAATTAGTTAAACACCCATTAATTAGAACTCTAAAGAACTGATTTTGGGGGAGGGAGATGTGTGGGAGCTGACACCTAACACACTTTATGAAAAAGAGAAAAAATGCACAAAATCACGTGGAATTGAAAAAAAAAAGGCAAATATTTTTCAGAATATATTTGAAAGTGTGTAGTTCAAATTTAAACCATTTTCAGTATCTAATGATATTAAGTCACTCCAGGAGACCCCAAAGAACAAGACATTCTATTTACAGAAACAAGTGTATTATACATTTAATTCTGAATTCTGGTGCCTTGCGAAAGAGGGATCAGAAGGTTACAGGGTTTAATCCTCAGTTAACTAGAAAAATCAAATCAACAATGTGAATCCATTCCTTAAACAAGTAGCTCTTAATTTTAGCTGCACGTTAGCATGGTCTGGGGAACTCTCCACATTTTTAATGCCCAGGCCCCACTCAGACTAATTAAATTAGAATTACTGGGTTTGGTTTTTGCTTTTTAAACGCCCCGGGTGATTTTCATGTGTGGCCAAGATTGAGATTCACTACCAAGGATACTACAATTATTTTAAGTTTTAGCTTTCTGCTATTAAAATTTAAGTTTTAAACCAGATTAGTTTAAATCAAAAATTAAATGTCTACCACTAGGTGGAGGCATATCTGCCAACTGACCTTTCATTTTCCCGGAGTCCTGGAAAAAGAGTGAACTCTAAATGCCTGGTTAACATGTCTGATGGACTTCCAATCCGGGGGTGCCCATGTGACCCAGTTTTAGGCACTGAACTAGAAGGGGAACCTTGCTAGGTCTTCTCCTTCTGGAATAAAAGGATAGCACCCTACAGTGGAGAAAAAAGTAAATTTCATTCTCTTTTCCCATTCTTCTGGCCCTGAACTCTGATATAAATTCTGAAACTAAGAAGTATATTTTGCAAACAGTGAAATAAGTCAGACAAAGATAAATACTGTATAATTCCACTTACATGTGGAATCTAAACAACCAGAACTCATTGAGACAAATCAGGTTGGCGGTTGTGAGAGGTGAAGTGAAGGGAGACGGGCGGGGGATAAATGAAGGTGTTCAAAAGGTACACATGGTGGAAAAAATAAATGAAAGCAGCAACTGTGAAAATGAAGTTAACAAGCTGAGCATGGTGGAGCATAGAACCTGTGCCAGAACATAAGTCTTCGATGACATTATGGAATCATTAAACTAGAGCAGTGATTTTCAGTTGGTGTGCAGCGAAATTTAAAACCTGCAATACCTGACTATTTAGTCAGGGGCACTGACCACTTTTCCCTTAGACTGTTTAATAAAAAATGACAACAGCCAACACACAATACCTGTTGGTGTGAATGAATCAAAATTATATATATATATTTGGTGTGCTGCAGAATTCTAGTAATTAGTTTAGGTGTGCCATGAAATGAAAAAGGTTGAAAATCATTGAACTAGAGCAACCAACTACCTTCAGAATTGTGTGTGAAGAAAATTATTGCTTAAGTCACTATTAACTGAACTCTCATTACTTGCAGGCAAAAGCATCTCTAATGGACACAACTTGGTTCTATCACTGTCTCTCAAACTATGAAACATTCAATGTTTACTATTGGCTAATAACTTTTCATTTATTATCACTTTGAGTCACAGAGAAACCCCAAAAGGTAAGTGTTGTTATTCCCATTTTACATATGCAGACATTGAGGCGCATACAAATTAACTATCTTGTCCACAGACATACAGACCTTGGATTCAGGGTTTGTTTGACCCAAATGCCAATCCCTTTCATTATGTTGCTGTAAACCTCTTGGATATGTACAAGTCTAGCTGCTCTGATTAAATTGCATTCTGTGTTATTCAGGAAGAGCATTTTGTGCTTCTAGGAATACACATAATTCTCGACATTAAGATTATTAGATATTTGAAGAATTGTTGGGCTTTACTTGGTTAACTGCAAAATTGCAGGATAAACTTTGTTGCTATTCTGCAAAACCAAAAGAGACTTTCAACTCACTACAAACAAAAACACTCAAGTGAATCTATTTTTGACAGCATAAAAGACTTGATAAATAACATTACTAATATTAATCTAGGACTTTGTAATCATTTTTTTGATGTACATGTTTAAGACAGCCATATGGATGTGTCTGAGAGCATATAAGGTGCTGCTATCTGTGGCCTTTACAAATGCAACCCCTCCCAGGTATTGTGTGGTAGGGTGTATTTGTGAAGAATTTTTTTTTTTTTGCTAGCATGTGCCATGCTATTTGCCTAATAGGCACTGCTGATAAAGCTGCAATTCCTGTTCTTGAGCATTTACTGGAGAATTAATGGATTAAAGAAAGCAGTACAGAGGCAGTCATGCTGAATTTGGAGTCAGGCTCACCAAATCAAAACTACTTTATGTTTCCCCCTTTTCCATAAAAAAAAAGGGGGGGGGAGGAGAGACCTACTTGAAATGTTCTTATGAGACTTAAATGAGCTGAAATGAAAATATAATGGTGGAGGCAAAAAAAAAAATAGGTACTTATCAAATACCTATGTGTTGAGTTAGTGGCATAGGTGCCTGGAAAGTAACCAGGGCCCCACCCTCAAGACGTCTAGTGAATTACTCTACCAGGCTCAAGCCTAAAGCCTTGAGGGGCAGTAAACTGCGATTCAGAAAACAGTAAAATCTGAACTTGACACACCTGGTATCAAGTTCCAATTCTTCAACTTCCCAGGTGGCCCTGGAAAAGAGATTCCGGTGCCCGAACCCCAATACTTGTGAAAGTAACCTCTCTTGGGAAAAGGGTCTGTGCAGAGGCAATTGAGGACCCCCAGGTGAGGTCATCCGGGATGGTTACAATGGGCCCTAAATCCAGTGGCAAGTGCCCTTATAACATAGAGAGGACACAGAAGAGAAGGCCGAGCGACAACAGGCGGACATCGCAGTCATGCAGCCCCAAGCCGCGGGGCACCGCGAACTACCAGAAGATGGAGGGGCACCGCCGTTCCTGCCGCTTGACTCGGGGCTTCGAGCCTACAGAACTGCTAGAGAATAAGCGGTGTTGCTTGACCGAGTTTGTGGTGTCCGTTTTCTCACCGGTGAAATGGGGATACTATCCGAACTAGTCTCACTTTCTGATGTGGGAAAATGGGATCGATGCAGTCTGGAAGAATGGGCAGGCCTTAATAATGGCAAACATTTATTGAGAGCTTATCATGACCATTGACTGTTCTAAGAGCTTTGATTTAGCTACCTCTGTTGTATTGATCAGATCATCAAGATTCAGAGAAACGGAATAATCTGCCCAAAGCCCCAGGGCTAGCAAGCGAAAAAAACACCAGGATTACAATTCAAACCGGCTCCCGAGGTTTCCCTTTGATCCTTCGCGCTAGATTAGACTGTCAGAGAAGATGCATATTAACGCGCTGTAAAAACGTGAACTATTTATTAGTTCAGGCTACAGAATGAGCCATGCCTACCAAGGCGGCTTTAAAAATTAGCCCGGTCCTCGAGAAACACCGCCGTCTTCCAGGCGCGGCAGCGACGGGGTTAATGGCGTCACTTCCGGGAGCCGCTGACACGCCCTCGCCGACGGATCGTTTCGAGGGCCAAACCCGCGTGTGTCACTGCCCCGGCTCTTCTCGGTGAGGTAATAGGGGTGGACCAATAGAAATGCCAAACTTCCCGGCTAGCCCCGCCCTTTAACCCAAGCTCCCCAGCGGAAGAAGAAATCCGTGGACCCGGGGGCGGGGCAAGTCCAGGAAGCGGAAGCGGCGGCTCCGCCGGGAGCTGCAGGGAGGCGGTCACACGTGTGCGGTGAGTATGGCGGGCCCGGCGACTGCTCCGGGGAGGGATTCGCCCCACGCCGGGCGCTGGAGTCGGGGGGCCCTCGGGCCGCCAGAGAGGATAGAGGTGTTCGCACCTGTCGCTCGCTGGGCAAGCCTTCAGTGACCGTGTCTGCTGTGGGAGTTTGGAGACCCTTTCACCCGAATGTCCTGAGACTGCAGGGTCAGCCTGACTCCTTTCACCCTCCGACACCCGGGCCCGTGCTAGTTGCGTTCAGCCTTCCTGCCATACGTTTGACACGCGTCCGCTCTGCACCCAGTCGGTGCCAGGCGCCGAGTTTGCACCCTGAATGCACATTGCCAGGCTCTGAGCGCCGAAGGGAAACTTGTTGGGAACGGAGGTGGAGGATGGGGGAGTCTGACGAAGTGATCCTTAAGCCTTAAGCCAGTGATTCTCAACCTTCTGGCCCTTTAAATACAGTTCCTCATGTTGTGACCCAACCATAAAGTTATTTTCGTTGCTATTTCATAACTGTAATGTTGCTACTGTTAAGAATTGTAATGTAAATATCTGATATGCAGGATGGTCTTAGGCGACCCCTGTGAAAGGGTCCTTCGACCGCCAAAGGGGTCGCAACCCACAGGTTGAGAACCGCTGCAAGCCGACCTAAAGCGTGACTAGAGGCGGCCCTGAAACCCCGAAGCCCGGGCGAAAATGGAAGCGGTAACTTGGGCTGAGTCCCTGAGCTGGGAGCTGTAGGAAAAGGACCCATGTGTTGAGCTTGGAGTGCAGCGATACCAGATAGAATGAGAAAGAGGGGGAGGGTGGTGGGACGGGGTTCTGCGGGGCTTTGAAGGCCATGGTGGGGCAGTTTAGGTCTTCTCTACCTGGGAATACAGTGCCATTTCTGTTCCATGTGTAGAAAACAGCGAAGATTTATTTATAAACAAGGGAGAAACATGGTAGGCCCCGGTTGTCTTTAGAAAAGGCCTGTAATTTGTATTATTGTTGATTATGTAATTAGAGATGATTGATAATGGTTTGGGTTGAGGTTGTGGCAGTGGAGATCAAAGGTGGAGGGTTAGAGGTGTTTTTAAAGGGGGTTGAACAAGACTTACTGCAGGCCTGAATGTAGCAGATAAGTGAGAAGATAAATCTTACCGTATTTGCCGGCGTATAAGACGACTGGGCGTATAAGACGACCCCCTAACATTTCC